CTCTTTAGAAGTAATGATGAAATGCTTGAGATAACACGAGTTAATTGAAATAGTTCGATGATGATTTAATTCATCTTCGACAATGCCAGAAGTGCAAACCCTATAAAATCAATTGTGTGGAAAGGGTCAAATTTTTATTACTTTTTAAAAATACCTAATTGTATAAAATTTTCTCATAAAAGGTATGACTATTTATGGTCTTAAAACCTTCAAAGCTGTATCCCATAGAAGTTAGTGTGTTCAATAAACACAATATGGAAGATAGTTAAACTTTAATCCACTTTTTATTTTATTTTTCGTTTTGGTATACATTTTTAACATAACATATGTTTATCAGTTTTACTTCATGCCAAAAGCTTTGAAGATATGTAGTTAGACTGAAGTTGGTTTATTCCATTCACATATGTATTAATCAATCTAAAATATTACTAATGATTTTTAACAAACTGTAAGATAAGTAAAACATATTCAACTGTATGTTGTGATTATTATGTGGTAAGGTAAGAGAATAATCCTATTCACATTTTTCCAGACTATCCAAATAGCCTTAGAATATGAATAATAATATTCAGCTATATCTTTTACGAAGTAAACTATCAAAAGTTGTCAACAATATCAAGAAATATAGTTAATATGTGTTGGTCATTTAATAAGTAACCGATGCTATATTTCCCAGCGATGATTACTGATTTGTTTGAATGTCATTTCTATACAACTTAAACTACACCAAATCATGATATAGTGTACTTTATTTTGATTTGTAAATATAAATATTTTAAAACATAGTTTTAATTCGTCAAAAAAAGCATTCAAATCTTCGACACAAATTTATGTGCGATTCAAGATTCAAACTAATATTAATCGTTATAAGAAAAAAGTAACGGACAATTAAAATTAAAAAACTGGATAAAAAAAGAAATTTTCCAAACGAAAATAATTGGAAACAAAAGTAGTTTAGAATGATTTTTATCACAATTGGATACTCTTGAACAAAAATTATTTCAAAAATAAAATTCAATTTAACCGGTCTATAGTGATTGGTATAGTTTAAAACAAGTACTACTTTTTAGACAAACATCCCTATTCATTGAATAACATAACTAGTTGTTTAATTTATTCGCTATTAATTAATAATAATTGCCCGAAATGGAGTAAACATACAATATCAGTAATTAAAATTTCTAGTTATATAAACAGTTCTACTGTATAGTACATATTCTATTTTATTATGTTTTGTGTTAGAGATGTTTCCCATGCAAAATTTGATAAGAATGTGAAAGAATTTTGTAAATCCCTCGATAATTAATTAAAATTATTTCAAGTTTTCTAGTTGAATTGATATAATTTGTTAAAAACTAGCAAAATTTCGTAATATAGATTCGGATTTCTTTATATATGCATATATATTAAAAGAAATCCAATTAGATTACATAGTGATGTGAACAAAAGTTTTACCCATAAACAAAATATAATCAACTTCTGAATTTAAATAGTAAATAGTTTGTACTCCGATTACTCTTTTTACTACACTATCCATGGGTTTATTTATTAAGTAGTATATAAGGAATCTACTGAAAATGTGCAAAAACTAATCCTAAGGTTTAACTAATTGGTTTGATTGTGAAACTTTCGTTGTCTATTGGAACAAAATCATCAGCACCTTAACCTTGAAATAAATGGAATGCAAAGGCTTATTACAGAATATTTACGATCATCCTATGATGAGTACATAAGACTTCAATATAATTCAATATTTTTATTTAAAAAAATGCTGAGTTAATTAGTTAAAAAAGCAACACTAATGTTGATAGTTTTTGGTTGATTACACGCATACATCAGAAATATAATAAGTTAGACACATCTAAATCTTTGTAGGCTAATGCGTATGTCACTTCTTATCATATCCACTGCGTATGTTACACACAGCTAACCTTCATTAAGTCTTGAAATAATGATGTAACAGAACATTGAGATCAATAATAATAATGCTATGAATTCAAAGAAATTATTGAAAATCACACCAATTAAACACTTTGATGAACATCACTAATAAATAGACATGATCCTTATATTTATAATGAATTATTTCTTTCTTTTTCTTGTTGAGTAAATGGTCAAATAGAATTTTATCTACATATTATTTAAACAAATTTTACTGAACAAAATTATGAGGTATACAAACCTGTATTTTCAAGATAAAAAATATGGGCTCCATGTATGAAAATAAGAATCTATGCTACATCAAATATATGCGAATATATAGGATATGAATCAATAAAATTATATCTTACCCTTTAAATTAGTAACTCATTCAACCTAAGATATGTGTAGCATTTTTAACTCATACATATGAATAATTATAAAATACAATGAACACAATTAACTACTATTCTAAAATTTCTTATGTTTTGTCTAACAAAGCCGTGATTTCTAAGTTGAAGGATTCAACTTGTATAAATGAGATCGTATACTTGAGATTTATAAAAGTCTTACGTTAGTTCACAAAAAAACTTGTAGTACTATACAATAGTTATATTTTTAAGATCAAAAGAAAATGTTATTTCTCTTTAGTTAATAAAGTAATAAAAACTTCATAACATTTTTACATTCATTATGAAGTATATAACAAAATCTTTTATGATGATCGCTTTTCTATATATTTTTTCTTAGAATACGTTTTAAAATGAAAAAAAAGATCAAGAATCAAACGATGTGTATTAAAGAATATAATAATATTAAGCACATCAAACAAGGAAGATTATCATTACACTGACCTATATTAGGTTAACACCTTATTGATGAATTATATAGTTACATTTTATAGTTTGTACACATTTGTAGTAATGAAAATACCAATGTTTAAACTTAAAATTTTGACATTATTTCATATTACAAGTGTATATAGATGTTTCAAACATACTACCATAACTAACCACTGTATACTCTCACATAGATATACACACATATATTATCGATCTGTTTCGATGTCTTCATATAACAACAAGATTAAACACAGTTTAATATATATATATTTAAACAATGGTTTTTCAGAAGATGAAAACAATCCGCATTCTTAAAAAAACATTTTGTAATTATGTACTATAGTTTAAATGAAATTTTAAATACGAAGAGAGTTCGTGTTATAATGAAGTAAAAGTCAGTTAGTTAGCTAGTAATTGTTCAATTAAGAAATGATATTATTATTTAACGATTTATGTTTCTACAATTTGCATCAACGCAATTCCAAAGTAACATGTGGTATAAATTTAACAAAAAAGAAGTCAGTTGTACAAAATAATTAACATACAGAATATTACTTAATAAGAATTAATGAAATCTAGCAAACAACATTATTATATCAATAAATTCAATATTTAATAAAGTATAACAAATAAATAAAATTGTATAACTATTAAGATCAATTTTGAGGTAAATTGTCCTAAAACTTCAAACTTAGATTGTACCTATTGTGAAGACTTTGACCATTAAAATTTCCAACTATCAACAAGGTTCAAATGAACAGTAAATAGGAACGTGAAATAGTTGTTACATCTTGATATCTCAAAATCCCTGTATATTTTCAACCAATTATATAGCTAAGAGTCATCGAATGTTAAACTCAGTCTTATTAGTAAATGCAAGCTACCTGTTTGAGATTCACTTTAAGTTACTGTGACCAGTGGTTAGAGATCCTACGTTTTAAATGTGTTTTATACTTTTTATTCGATGAATTCGTTCATTCTTTTCGATAAACATTATTTATTCTTATTGTTTTCTCATTACCACCATTATTAATATTTTATTATTCACGTTGAAAAGTTCATCTCTTTATTCTGTTAAGGTGTGGCAACTTAAACTAATGAACATGTGCACTTATGATTGACTAACTGATATAGCTAGAAACAATAAGTGTTGATATTGTATGGTAACTCGATTTTGGACAATGATAATTACTTAATAAATTAAACAATTCATTATGGTATTCAATAAATAATTATATCTGTTTATAAATCAGTAATTGTTTTAAACTACGCTAATGATTACAGGGAATAAAAATCGAAATAGTTTTTTTTTAAAACGATTCGATAGTATTGAAGATAGGAATGAAAAATTCTTTACTCAATATAATATATTATCATAATGAAAACATCTAGTTGCAGATCGGTTGAATACACATATGAACATGCATACAACATGTATTTTATATATTTTACATAGCGAGTATTATTGAAATTTTTTCTAGTTCATATTCATCAACTGGATATATCTACAATTCAGATGTTGAGTTTAACTTCAGAATTCAAAATTCATATCGTTTGTTTCACATCCTAAGACGTTGTTCATTCGGTGTGATATACATAAACTACTATAACAATTCATAACAAGTGTTTTGATTTATTTTGAGGAGTCCTCTGAAGTCATCTTTCTGATGTGTATCTCACTTAAAAATGAGTAAACTCTTTTCGCTTAGATTATGACTAACTCATACTCATGATAATAACACACTTACCACTTTTCTTAACCTATAAATGTATAAATTTTGCTTAAATAGATGGATTTTAATATGTTCGAAAGATTTAAAGCACCATCAATATTGGTTTATACTAGGCAGTCGACTCTGAAGGAACTTAAAGATTTTCACAAAAAGCATTCAAAATATGGTTTTGAACTGATTTAGACTCTACTTCTCGGATTATTTTAATAAATTATATAATGTATTTGACATTCTCTAAAAAACACAGAAAATAATAATAACCCTACCATTAAATCAAAATATGGAAAAAAACTGATAAATTATTCTGTTACATATAAGATGTTTAAATGAATCCCAACAGATACAAACATTTAATATTGACGTTTCTATAAACTGCTTTCGAATATTAAGAAATTTGTACGATTGTTTTAATGAAATAAGTGAAAAAACATTCGACTCCTTATTTATTAGAATAAGATCAATGTTGAACGCAAATGATACTGTATGTTTAAACTGTAATCATTACCTTGAATTGTTTTAAAGAATGTAACAGATCGTCTAATTGTCTTTCAGCTTCTTTCGCTGCCAACATTGTTTGTTTATTCGAGTGTTGAGTATTAAAATTGTTTTCTGAATGATTATCAATCAATGTTGACGTACTAAAAAAGAGCGATATATATATATAATGAAACTAGTACTTTAAAAAAGGAGCAGAATATCATTTTGAGCGTTAATATTTATCACAATTTAGGTTGAGATATTATAAATAGCTAAGTTTTCTGGTATAGAAAATTTTCAAACCAAAAATTAAGACATTCAAATTTTCAGCGCGATACTAAAAGTCGAATACCGATTAAAACAAAATAACAATTCGGAAAAACTTCAACATGTACAACTTACAATATAATCCAATTTGTCGATAATATAAATCATAAGTAGGTTATTTTGAGCTGAACTGTTTAGAAGTTTAAACTTATGATTAAATTCTAAAATCACTTAAATAATCAAATAGAGTATATGTAAATCACATGAAATTGACGGAATTTGTCATTAAATAACATCGTGCTTGACTAAATTCAATTCAGAATACAATGAATTACACTTCCGACAAAATTAGTTTCACAGAAAACCATTATACTGACCACCTTTAAGAAATTAGTTTTACCCTATTCCTTAGTATTTTGACATAATTTATCTGACAATAGTTTGTGGAAAACCACCAACAGAAATTATCTATCTCATGTTTAAATAAATCAATTAAAATTAAAGAACTAATGAATTTTTGAGCTAAGTCAAACTGATAGAGATAATGCAATAGAGCTTGGAAAAAAGTATAACAATTCACGCTACGTTTGAGTGATTAGAAATTATACCCGACAATAAATCGCTTTAAAAATTATTTATTATTTCAAAATAACAGCAAAAGTTGCATTGACGCTAAAGCCAGTTACTTTAACTCTAGTTGCTATGTCATTTCGGAACCGCGATATAAGATTATTAAATAGCAAAGGAGTCTAACCAATAGTAGTGTCAACAGAATTGAGAAAAACTGAATGTTGAGAACATAGCGCAACAACATATGAAAATAAGGTGTGCACGAGGACGTACTAGAACTTAAGATCCAAGGAAAAAGACTGGTTCCTCTGCGTAGTTACCACTACCAATGTTCGATTTGGTAATTTCGAATAAACTAAGTATTGGGGAGATTACTATAAATAATATATATGTAATGTCCCAATAACTCCGCCTGGAGCCCCTCTGGGGCTCCCTTAGAAGAGTTATGACGTCTCATGATGAAAGCCGAGTTCTTTCGGAAGTCACGAGGTGGATGCTCCTTCTGACAACCAGAGCGACCATAAATCTAAGTACACGGAATGCTCGTTTAATGTGGGAGACCGGAAGAGTCATCCAAGTCTATGTATAAATGAAAAAATACAACCTGAAGGTGCTTAGAATGAGTGAAACACATTGGGCGCAGGTTGGACAATAAATACAAGCTTCAGGGGAGCTTCTGTTATACTTTAGCCATGAAAAATAAAATGCTTCACATACACAATGAGTTGCACTGATGTTATCCAAACAAGCACAAAATGAACTTATAGGATGGGAATCTCATGGACCAAGGATCATCAAAGCCTCCTTCAAAACAAAGAAAAAGGGCATTACAATTAACGTCATCCAATGTTATGAGCCTGCTGACGATAACAATGAAGATATTGAAGAGCAATTCTACGATAGGCTGCAGTCAATCGTTGAGAAACGTCAAACAAAGGACTTGACCATTTTGATGAGAGACCTAAATACCAAGGTGGAAATGGACAACATCGGATATGAAAACATCATGGGAAGAAATGGACTGGAAGAAATGAACGAAAGTGGTAAGTGATTCGCAAACATATGTGCCCTCAATAAACCGAATATAGATGGACGATGAGGAACGTGACAACCAAGAGAGGAGCTGATATACCATCAGATTATCACTTGCTGGTCGCCAAGATGAAACTCAAGAAGCACTGAACAACGGTGCGGACAATATCACAAAAGTTTGATACGACATTTTTTCGGGATTCTGATAGACTCAACGAATTCAAGGTAGTCCTCAGAAATAGGTTACAGGCCTTCCGCGATCTAATTAATAGAGAGGAAACCATTATAGCAAACAACTCGAAGGGGGTCAAGGAGGCAGTCACTTCAATATGTCATGATATTCCAGGCCACAAGAAGCACCACCACAAAGAAATGGATTACTGTTGATACACTGGATAAGATTCAAGAAAGGAGAAACAAGAAGGCAGTGATCAATATCAGCCGAACAACAGCAGAAAAAGCAGAGTCACAAGCTCAATACACAGAAGTAAACAAGCAATTGAAGAAAAGCATCGGAACCGACAAAAGTAAATAAGCGGGAAATTTAGCACTGACAGCGAAAAAGGGTGCAAGAGAAGTAAACATGAGACAATTGTATGATACAACAAAGTAGCTCGCTGGAAATTATCGTAGACCTGAAAGACCAGTGAAAAGCAAGGAAGGTAATATAATCATCAACATTGAAGAACAACGAAACAGATGGGTAGGGCACTTCAAAAAACTCTCGAATAGACCAGCCCTACTGAACCCACCAAACATCAATGCAACACCAACGGACTCCCCAATCAATGTTGGCCCACTAACAATTTAAGAGATCAGCATGACCATCAGACAAATCAAGAGCGGCAAAGCGACGGGACCAGACAACATTCCATCAGAGGCACTGAAAGCAGATGTATCAGTAACTGCATAGATACCCTTTATTTCATTCAGCAGGATTTGGGATGAAGAACAAGAACCAACAGACTGGAAAGAAGGATACCTGATCAAGATATCAAAGAAAGGTAATCTCAGCAAATGTGATAACTACAGAGGCATCACTCTACTCTTAATATCAGGAAAGGTCTTCAACAGGGTGTTGTAAAACAGAATGAAGAACTCTGTAGACTCCCAACATCGAGACTAACAGTTTGGTTTCGATAAGGACCGGTCGTGTACCGACTAAATCGTAATACTACGGATCGTTGTGGAACAATCGATTGAATGAGATTCATCACTGTACATCAATTTCATTGACTACGACAAAGCATTTGATAATGTGAACTGGACAACACTATGGAGGTTTCTTCAACACTATGGCGTGTCTGAGAAGGTAGTCAATATCATACGGAATTCCTATGATGGATTAAACTGCAAAATCGTTCATGCAGAACAGCTGACAGACTCGTTGGAAGTAAAGACCGGTGTCAGGCAATGTTGCTTATTCTCACTCTTTCTCTCTCTCCTGATGACCGACTGGATCATGAAGACGTCAATTTTCAAGACAAATGCCAAGGCAGTTCTACTGCATGGAGCAGAAACCTAGAGGACTACGAAAGCTACCATTCAGAAGATACAAGTGTTATTAACAGTTGTCTACGCAAAATACTTCGGATCCGTTGGCCAGACACTATCAGAAACAACTTACTGTGGAAGAGAACAAACCAGATCCTAGCAAACGAAGAAATCAGGGAGAGGCGCTGAAAGTGGATAGGATACACAGTAAGGAAAGCACCTGACTGCGTCACAAGGCCAGCCTCCACTTGGAATCGTCGAGGCCAAAGGAAAAGTGGAAGACCAAAGAACACATTACGCCGATAAATGGAGACAGACATGAAAAGAACCAACAACAATTGGATAGAACTAGTAAAAAAAGGTATAGAACAGAGTGGGTTGGAGAGTGCTAATCAGTGGCCTATACTTTATTGGGGGTAACAGGCGACAGTATGTGATATCCCAACGAGTAAAAAAATTAGGTATTCTGACGTTTCGTGACTCAGTGTAAGCCACTCCTCTATGTTGTGAAACCGAATAAAGTTTAGTTTTATATTGATTGACTTCACATCCAACTTACAATCATCGTGAATCACTGTTCACTGTACGAATTCGGTAAATAGAATTTCATTAACACTTTGCATTAAGCAAAGTAATATCATTTATACTTTGAAGATTTATTTATAATTCCATTAAAGGTAAACATAATTAACGATAATAAGATTTGAGTTGTTCAACACATGATAAAGTTCAACACTGTTTTTAGTAAATCTAATATGAGTTAAAAATTCTGTTGTAAACAACATAATTAGGTGACATATTGGTAGAACAATAAACACATAGATAAATTTACAAAAATATCTTTGAATCATAATATGTACTGGAGCAATATATATATATATATATATATATATATATATATATATATATATATATATATATATATATATATATATATATATATATATATATATATATATATATATATATATATGGATAAATACATTATAGTCAATTATTTCATTGAAATAGATTGTTTTTTCTAGTTACAATGTATCATATGATCAGAAGTAAATGATCTTTCAATAAATTATTTCTCTGTTTATAAAAAACTAAGTCAAGTTTTGCACAGCATAATTATCAGTTATTAAATTTACTTAATTAATTTATCTATGAAAGATTAAGAGATGTTAAATGTTTCAAAATAGTTTACTTGAAACTGTACTGAATTCTAGTTATTAATCCATTTCAAAGATTTTTTAACTCAATAATATCGGAGATAATTGTTGCTTATGTATGTTGCGTATTTTTAGGAGAGGAGATATAAAAAGGAAAAATAATGGAGATGGTAACAGTTGAATAAAAAATTCTGATAAAAGAAAACAACAGTGATCATTCTTTTTAGTCAAGGTCAAAAGTATGATATTTGTTTAGCATTTCTTCTAGACCATTAAATGTAACACTTCTTACATGAAATTATCAAGGATTTATATTCAATGATTACTTAAAGTACTTACTAATATTCACAAAAATCATTTCAAGTTATGTCATTCAAAGGTAAGCGTTAATGTATAGTTCTGTGGTATGTGCTACTGATGTCGACATACATAAGTAGTATGTATCATCAATCGAAAGTGAAATACTTGGCGGTAGAAGGTTAAGAAGATTGAAGAAAAGAGAACGAAAACAGTAACAATGAAGTCTGATACAACTGATTAACATTTTACAAGTAAGTAATTCACTGCATGGTTCTCAGATTTCACTAAGAGATTCTGTATTTTCGTGTTCAAAAATAATCGGTTTCCTTGTTAAATATACC